AATAATAACAACTTACAATGCACGAGCAATACCAAAAACACTAACTTTATACTTATCATCCATGGCTGATGGCAAAAGACTCAAGCAAGATACATACAAAAACTTTTTTTATAGATGATAAGCAACTCAAAACTATCAAACAATTTTTTTTATTAACGATTTTGACGGGTTAATATATTAGAAATTAAGCTATAAACAACAAATATCAACAATTAAAATAGAAAGAATATCTGTATTAGAAAACAAAAATAATGATGAATGAAACAATGTATTATCACATATGAGTTATAATCTATGCTAATCTATATACAAAAAAATATTAAATTTATTTGGTCATCATAAATAAAATGAAATAGAACAAAATAAAAATCTAAACTATTACAGAAGGATTAGAATTTAAATATAAAATTTAGAAAAAACAACCCTATATCCCACACAAAGTCAATGAGTTGTTGTATTGACAATAAACATCAGTTTCGAATAGAGCAACTTAAAACAACTAAACCCCGTGCAAAGCGCGAATCTAAAATCTAAACAAAATTTTGGTGACTGAATCGAATTGTTAGGGATTGGTTTGAGAGGAAACTTTCTCAATGTTAGAAAAAAAAAGATTCATTTTGTTGTCTAAAAAAAAATAGACCGACTCTAAGCTAAATCAAATCAATTTTCATTTGAGCCATTATTTTAGATTTGAGAACATAAGCCGATTTCTGCTGTAGTCCAAAAATATTTTATGAAAAGAAATCCGCGTGAGGTGAGCGGATCCAAAATCTAGTCTTTGGTTAAAAGCATCTCCAACCAACATTTATTTTAAATCTTCTAATTTAGAAGAAACATAGAGATGATATTTTTTTCCTGTAAAATAGAATAAGTTGGAGAGAAATCTACCTATATTTTAGAAGAAAAAATAGAAAAATATATTAGAGATGATCTTAATATTTAATATATTATTCAAGGTTAAGAAAAAAAATATGAGTCAAAAATATAAAAAGAATAAATAAGAAGAATAAGTTTGATCGATTTTATATTTTTATTTGAAATATTTTAAAAGATTATCTTACACATATTAATTATTTCATGCATAGATTTTTTTAACATATTAAAATATTATTTCATGAATCATGTTTTTATATGTTCTGATCTATTATATTAACACATATGGATATCAAAGTTAGGAATAGAAAAACTCTTAATTTTTAATATAACAATAAATTCTTAAATATATTATTTTACACCTTAAACCATACACATATAAGTTTAGGATCTAACTGATTTAAATGTTGCAGTTACAGAGAGTTTGTGGAAGCGACCTATTGCAGGCTATAAACAAATTGACGAAGAGTTACCAGATAATTTTATAAAATATGATTTCACAAATTTTATAACAAATATTTATTATAAATTTTATTGAGAAACTTATATTATAAAACGCTAAAAATAAGAAATTTTGGTTAAATATAAAACGATAGACACGGTTTTCATAATTGTTGTTAAACGCAAAAAACTGCATTGTGTAGAAACATAACGTTTGCAAAAAATATCAGAAAAACTAACAAACATTGAAATATTATAATTCACTTAATTCTAACTCATACATATATGCATAAATATACATATTTTGTTAAAAAGAAAATTCAACCATATATTATAAAAATATATATTACATAACATATATTTTGTCATTTTCTTTTAACACATAAAAGCTATACTTTTTTTCACAAATATACGTGTAAATATAAATATTAATTGTGCAATTGTCAAAGTCGCATGCCAATTATCGTGCAAGCATTTTGGTAACCTCGATTATAGTCCAATTTTATTTTTTAGTTATTAGACAATTTGTACTCCCTCTGTTTCTAAAAGGAGGATCTTCTAAAAAACAATTATGTTTCAAAAAGATGAATTTTCTCATTTTTTAATATAGTTTGTGTTAGGTATTTCTAATTTTACCCTTATTTGTTTATCTAATTGTTATTTTATATGAGTAAAAATCAAATGACAAATATATCATTTCTATATTTTTCTTAATAAGTGCGAAAATCTTGAAACTCATTCTTTAAACAACAGAGGAAATATTTTTAAAAAATTTCTATATGTATTCGTGCATACCAACCATCTCACCGCTCTTAGGATAAGTAAAGATGACAAAACCTATTTTGGTTCAATTACCAATTGGCCAAGGAAAAATGTATATTTAAAATATTTATATTGACAAAATTATATTTTGTAAGAAGAAAAGAAAGCATATGAAATATAATATTCAAAACATATAATAAGAATTCAATTATTATTTAATATAAATTTTATTTTTGAAATTATACATTACTCTAAGCGCTAGAAAAAATAAAATAAAAAGTTTTCAAAAGACACAAAACGATATGAAACGTTTGTGTGATTGTTGTTAAACACTAAAACTGTATATGTATAAAAACATAACATTTACATAATATATAAGAAAATTAATAAATACTTAAATACTACAACTAATTATGTCTATAAAAAAAATTATACATGTACATACCTGCGGGCCAACCATAACAATGAAATAAATTATTATATATTTTATTATTTTTCAGTTTATTTAGTTATCATATATACACTTTTTATTTAAGAAAGTAATTTAAAAACTTGATTAATATTTTTTATCTTCAATTTCTATTGAAATCTATAATATTTTTATTTGATTTTTCATTATTTTTTATTATTAAATGTTTACATAAATAGAAAATCTTTAATATATAATATTAATGATATATTAAACAAGGTGCAGACCAATCTATTTCGACAATATAATGTGAGATATTTATTTAACTTTTGAATAAAACTTCAGAACATTTACCAATTGTTCAGCCCATTTTTACTATGCCTAATTTTAAGGTATTACGTGGTTATTGGGCCATGCTAGAGTGTTGGCCTTCTTCTACTAAGCCTGTTATTGATCCCCTAAAAGAATATTTTCGGGCAGGTGGCGTGTTTACTGAGTGATCAAATTATTTTGTGGATTGAATTTCACTTGACTGTCTACGGCTCCATTGCGTAAGTGTACTATATCAGACAAATTTTTAATTATTTTATAGGAACAACGGAAGGATCAACTCCCCGACTCATTTCCAATCAGTCGAGAAGTCGGGGACAATATTTGGGCCTACTTTTACCATAACTAATTATAACTGTTACCTCATTTCATAACCACATTCACATTTTATTTCTAAAACATGCTTTTAAACCATCATTTCCGGAAACTATTCCTATTAAAATAAATCTTTATAAAATCTCATCAAAGTTATAAAATTCTCATACTAAAATCTCATAAACCAACGAACTAACACTTAGAAAAATACTATCTTTTAAATAAAATAAAATAAAACTCGGCTCCCGAAATAACACCAAGAAGCAAAACAGACTTGAGCAGCTATTCAAGATTTCCATCCTGACCTGAAAAAAAGGCAAAAAAAGGGGTGAGTAATTAATTACTCCATAAAAGAGATAATCTCTGCCCACTAAAACATAATTACATTGATCTTAATAAAAAATGACTAAAATATTCATATTTTTAACTAATAATGTTTTTATTTTATTTTAACCATATTACCTTGATCTTAACTAAACTAATCATTAATCTAGAGTATATTTACAATTCAATATTCAAATTGGTATTTTTTAACATTTATAAATCACATTTTCTCACGATTTTATGGTTTTGGCACGAAAACTCGAATTTTTTTCTCGGTTATTGCAGAAAAACGTAATCTTTGGGTTTTGATGGGAAATACGATTTTGCAGTTTTTACAGGAAAACTTGGTTTTGCGGGTTTGGCATGAAAACATGTTTTGCCGTTTTGGTGGGAAAATGTATTTATTGCGGAAAATATGATTTTTGCAGTTTTGTGATTTGAGCGGAAAAACACAATTTCACATTTTGGCATAAAAACACGATTTTGCGATTTTAGCGAGAGAACTTGATTTTTCAGTTTTGACGGGAAGACGTATTTTACGGGTTTGACGGAAAAACGAATATTTATGATTTTTGCCTGAAATTTTGATTTCACAATTTTGTGGTTTCGACGGGAAAACACGATTTTGCAGTTCTGGTGGAAAAACTCGATTTTGCAATTTTTTGTTTTTTAAGATAATTGTAAATTATATCATTTTGATCATATTCGTTTGCTCATTTGGAATGTACATCTAAATATTTCATATGAGTAAGGGTGTTTAGACATTTGTTATTTTGGATTGGACAATTTCTATCTCTATCCAGATGTCCAATTTCGTCAATCCAAATGAATTTAACAAATTTGTCTAGATTTTAATTTAAATGAGTCATCTCACTGTTTCTTTTTTATATCATTAAACGAACATTAATTTTCATCAATATCGAGATAAATTTAGACATAAGTTGGTTTTCAAGTTATTTTCATATTTTTTTATTTTAAAAGTTATTTCAAAAAATTTTGGACGAAAAAATAACTTTCGGAACTTTGTTGGAACAAAATAGTATCTTGGACAGAAACGGCTCAAATTTGGACGAAAGACAATCCCACATAATAGTTTTGTTTAAATTATTTTGGTTCTTTACAAGACTATTGTAGTTATCCAGTCTATAAAATATATGTTTATAACAAATGTTATGAATGATTAGAATAGAACAAAGACAAATAAACTTGTGGTAGTTAAGAGTTTTTTTTTTTTTTGTTCAACGTGGTAGTTAAGAGTTAAGACTACCAATTTATATACTTCTCATTGATTTAAATAGGAAAAGTTGGAGTTGCAACTCCTTACAAACGTGAACAAGGGAAATGGAGTCACTAATTACTCCTAGAAAACAGGAATGCATAAGAAAGTGGAGAACGTCTTTCTGAAAGACTCGTTCTATTATTTGACTTAGAAATGAAATAAAAACAGAGAACTCTCGAGACTTCGCTTATCCAAATACGAATTATTTTCCTTGTTGACTAACCACCTCAGCACTTTCATTGACCGGAGCTATCCTATCACAAGAATCTACAAACGCATCAAACGATGGCGTTTAAGACTTCGGAAATCAGATCGCTTCTGAGTTTTGGTGTTTTCTTCTGCGCAGTACGCTTCCACCTCACGTAGAGTACAAGTAGAAAAATGAGGATTCCGAATACAACCACCACAAGCATGAGTAAGATTATCACTGGGACTAGGAAGTGAAACTTCAGGTACACCGCAGACGAGAGGCCCTGAGATGAAGATAAACCACCAAGTATATGATCTACCAACGGGTAAGAGTACAAACGTCGTGGCAATAGCCAAGAGAAAGGCTATAGTATTAAGTCCCCATAGTACGACGAAATCTACTATGATTTCCATCACAGATAGATTTAGGTATTTCTCTTTATCAATTGGCTGGAGCGCGATTTGATAAGTAGCTGCAATTATCAGAGCTGCAATTACCAGAAGAGTGTTACGTGTTCCGTCTGACATGCCACTCCTATAACGTGCTATTCTCGTGAAACAATATTCCGAGAAAGTGATCGATTTTCTCAGAAAGACAGACGTTTTCTTAACTTTGGAAAGAGAATTCCCGCTCTTACCACCAGCATTTTGTATAAGTTTCTCCGTATCTCTGTTCATGTGACGTGGTCCATTGGCTCGCAAAGCATCGAGGGCTGTCATGCCACTTTTGTTCTGGATGTTCCGGTTCAGTGACATGGATTTCAGCAGCTGTTTTACAGCCTGTATATATAAATGTTTCAAGACATCCATTTATTAGATAAATAAATCAAAGTCTTTAGCACAAAACGTTTCAACGAAGATGACTGATATCCCTTGTATTTACACCATTTAGAGCTGCATTTAGTGCATGTTTTGGTCCTCTTTTGCATATTTTCCCTTAGTTTTTGTTCCACTTTCTTCTCCTTTTAGACTTAGGTTGCATTAGGAGTATAGATTGCATTTTCCTCGCATATTGGATGTTTTTAGGTGCTTTTGGAGCTTAAAGGAGTTTGGAGGAGCTTTGGGAATGATCCAGGAGGCTAGCTGGACAAAAGGAAGCAAGAAGGATCAAAGCAGAAGATTTCTGCAGAAGTTTTCGGTCAGAGCCTAGAATTTTCGGTCTCTGGTGACCGAAATGAAGCAGTATCGATCACCAGTATCGGTCTGATGTGGTCGACACAAACACACCGTTATAATTTCGGTCATGTGTGTCGATCACTGATGACTGATACAGATAATTTTTGATCACTGGAGGTCGACACAACTGATCGATACCAGCTCTGTCCGAAGACCCTTTATTTACAATTATGCCATTTTCGCCTAGACTCTTATAAATATGGGAAACCCCTAATTTTTGGGAACAAGCATTTACCCAGCAGTTATTTCTTCCTTGTTTAGACCTCTGGCTTTTGTAATTTGAATCTTTGCTTCATTTCAATAAAAGTTTGCATCTTTCATTTTGTTTAAGCTAGCTAATCATGATTAGTCATCTTTCTCTCTTTGATTTGGTGGCTTTAATGGTGATTAGTGAGTAGTCTTTTTTAGGGATTTGAGATGGGTTAGGTTTAGGGGATTTGAGACTTTATCTATGATTGCTTAGTGTTAATTCTTTCATTTTCTTTCTTGATTGCTGTGTTTAATGCTTAATTAGCTCTAGCTAAGTTGATTAAGATCTTAGGCTCATTTTATGCCCACCAAGTGTTTGATGAAATGTCTGAACTGCTTTGCAAGAGAATTGCTTATCCTAGCTCAAGAGATTGACTGTCTAGGGAGTGGTTTGGCAATATAGGGTGATAGAATTGTTTTAATGCTTGCTCCTTATCATTTCACAAATGAGAATTAGTTCTTGACTTGGTAATTAGCAAAGAGATTAGTGCCAAGAGATTGGATTAGTCATATAAATGAATCCTATGCATAAGGAATACCATTGTGTGAGTTTGTAAGCATCATAAGTAGAGTCAAGAGTTCCCTATCACCAATTATCTCATCTCAAGTCCCATGTTTTCTCTGTTTCAAGCTCTGTTCTGAATTAGCTCTGTTTTTACTTCTACTTTGGTCATTTGCTTGCTTACTTCCTTATTTGTGTTTGTTTGGTTTTTGCTTGATCACTCAGTTTGCTAGAAACTCTAAAACCCTTTTATATCTGCTTGAATTAGGATTTCTACTGCATTCTTATTGCTCCATTCTCTCCTTTTGGATTGATAAAACCCTATGCTATACTACAACTGATTAGTACAAGCTTGGGTAATTGAGTCAAGTTCCAAAAAAGTCTTGTACCAATTTGGCGCCGTTGCCATTAGGGGAATGCTTTGTTCAGTAGGATTTGTAGAGATTTTAAGATCATGTAGGAATCTTCGAGCATCGTGTGTTCTCCCGTGGGTGGTAGGATCGCGGTGGTAGTATCGTCGTTGTTGTCGATCGGGAGACTCATCGCTTCGTCCCTTAGTTGCTAGTTTTTAAGAATTTATTCTCCTATTCCCCACATACGGCGCCAACTGTTGAACCAGAAAATCACCACTAGGAATTTGATTAACGGTTGTGAGTTTCAGAGAATAAGATTTTTTTATTAATAGCTTTAAGACGAAGCGATTACAAGAGATGGCTTAACCGAGAGGTTATGCCGAAGTGAAAGAAAGTGTTTGCGAAGTAAACTAGAAAACGTTGGAGTCTCTGGTTTTGGCTCTGCTGCTCTCTAGATTGTATGAGTTGTCCTCTTCAGCTTCAGAGTCTTCTTATTTATAGGGATAGGAGGTCGGTTGCTCCGAACTCCTTTTCTTTTTTCCCTTTTGTGAATATTTCCATATTTGCATTATGGAAATATCCCTTATTCTCCGAATAATATGGAAATTCTCCTTTATCCTTCGAGTAAAGCTGATGCTTCCGGACTTCAAAGATTATCTTTAAGGGTTTTCCTTTATCCGTGTTACGTCGGCGCAGTTTTCCTAATCTTGATGGGCTTAAGTTATCGCTAGAGAAGACATTTTAGGAAATGTGCTCATTTCTCCTCTAACAATTATCGATATTAATACTTTAAAATCTGATAATTTATACCTTTTGATAGTAATTTTATATTTTATTTTAGTCTATTCAAATTTATTTTGTATGTTTGATATACTTATGACTTTTTTTTTTTCTTCTCATTAAGCTCTTTTGTTATTGATTCTCAAAATAGGTAGCAGATATATCAAGTTAATCTTTTTACTTAAATACTTTTTTATTTTTTTAATAATAATTTTAGTTTTAGTTATAATGCTTATTTAATATGCTATAACTATTCATTTTAATTATTATGTTGATTTCTCTCAACACATTACTGCACCATTTGTTTTTTTTTTTGTTAATATTTCTTATGTTGATTTTCAAAAAATTTAGCATATATATTAAGTTAATTTTTAATCTACCTTTTATATTGATTCTTATTTTATTTTGTAACATAATTTGTTTTGTAATATTGACATTTTTACATACATCATTTACTCTCTTTTTTCTATAAATAATATTCTTTTATATTGATTTATTAAATAGTTAATATAGATATCAAGTCATTTTTTAGATGATTTGTTTTTGAAAAATTAAATTTTTCGATATTAATATCTTAAATATCCAGTTTAACACTTCATCTTTCTTCAACTTTTTATTTTTCTCTTACTTAAACAGTTTTATTTTTCTGTACTTAATTGATATTGTTAAATAGTTAGTATATATATCAAGTTAGAAAACATTTGATGTTTTTAAATTGTTAGTTTAATATTTTTATATTACCTATTTAAAAGAGATAGTGTATAATAAGTTAATTAAGATATTTTATCTTTTGTTAATTTAAATTTTTTGTCATTGATTTACATATTTTGTTTTATTGGTTTAGCTTTTGTCACATTGAGTTTTCATTTTTATTTGGACAAACACTATAGATTTGGATTTCAGATAACTTTTTTTTATCGGTTTTGTTAGTTAAACTTTTTTTATCTTTATTTTCTATTCTACTATGATATTTTTCCTTTTTTACATATTTTTTAAATTACTAATCATATTTAACATTTTTATGTTTAATGAAAAACATTGATGTGGACATCCTTAATAGCTTTTAGAATCAACTTTTATATAGTATAGACTATGTTTTTGTTTTCACTCGCGCTACGTGCAAATATATATTATAAATTGATTAAATAATTTTTATATTAGCTAAAATACTATAGTACATTTTTTATATAACATTTGGTTATAAAATTTTATTTAATCTTTTCTCTATAATTATTTTTTATATAAATTTCTATGATTATATATAAATTTTTTCTAATATGTTTTTTATATTATGAATTCATCCTAAAATAACCTCGCTGTGGTCGTAGAGCATGCATCTTTAATTTAGAGAAGAACAATATTCTTGCTAAGATTGTTGTGATTTTTTGTTTTTTTACGATTTTTGTAGTAGTTTTAAAATAAAATATATCTCTTTTAAATTTCCCTTGAAATGAATATTATCAATAATTTTCCAAATTGCTGCATTTGAGTTGGGAAACAAACTAAATGTTTTTTTCTCTCTAAGGTTTATGTATCCAAATCTTTGGTTAGTTGACTAAGTATATGATTAATATTATGTACCTATGCATCTATTATCTCTAGTTTTTATTAATTCTAATTTGTTTTAAAAAATATTAGACATGGTGTTTTATCAAATTTTTAATGTGAATACAAAGTGTAATATGAATTGGTTGGAAAATAGAGAGGATCTGATTGTTCAGGTTTCAATTTATTAAGCTCTATAGGAATGTGTTTTTAAAAAAAAAAAAGATATCATGCACACTCTTATGGAGCTCAATCTGTATGATTGCATGTAAGTAAACAAATCCAGAAACATCCACTTGGTAATTTGAAAATATGTTTGATGTTGAAACTCGTGGAATTCATTGCAACTTCACATATTAATTTTTAGCAGACACCAATACTTTAGAAATAAAATATTTTGTAAACTAAATTTTAAAATTATTTACTTTTAGATTTTTTTTTGTTAGTATAGTTTTGTTTACCATTAATTTGATATTTTTATTTTGGTATATATGATTTTTTGTTATTATTTTATTTATTTTTAGTTAAGCTTTACTGTTGTTCTTAGTTAAGCTTTTTGATGATTTTTAAAAGAGTTAGCATACACATGAGTTAATTTGTTTCTATATGATTTTTTTATAACTTGAAATTTTGATATTGATTTCTATTTTATTTTGAAAATTAAAATTTTGTGAATATCTTTTCCAATTGATTTTGAGTCGACAAAAGTCTGCAATATTTATAAAAAATGTTTCATATCACATGTTCCTTTCAAACTTGATATGAAATATTTTTAGTTAAACTTTCTTTATCTTTTGTTTCACCATTAATTTTATTATTTTCTACCCTTAATTATTTTTTATTTTTAATAAAGTATCTATCATATGCTTATAACATAATGGTTTTTTAAAGAAATTTTTATCATATTTGTTTCATAAAAAAATTTAACACAAACCACAACTAATATATCTTATGTTTATAATTCATATTTTTAATTATTTCTCACGATTTAGATTTTGAAATAGTTTAACTATGGTCTTTAATACAGTTTTAAATTATTTTGTTTAATTTATATGATTTTCTTAAATAATTTAATAATATGTCAATTTTTTATTCCTAATAAAAAAATAAAATCTAGTTTCCTTTTTTTCTAAACTCGTTTTTTATTAGTA